GTGTGTGTGTGTGTGTGTGTGTGTGTTCGCGCACACAGCCAGGCCCCACAGCCCAGGGTGTGCAAGCCGCCCTCCTGGCTGCTCCCAGCCTCCAGCCCGCGGTCGCTCCCCGGGTGCGCCCGAGCTCCGTTTCCCCCAGGGGCAGGCAGCGGGGCCAGTCGGTTCAGGCCGCCCCATCCTGCAGCGTGCACGGCCCAGCGTGATCCCCGTGTGGGTCCCGATGCCCTTTGCCCGGCCTGGCCCGGGGTCCTGCCTGCCCAGGTGCCTGCCTCGCAGAGCTGGCATGTGGCTTTGGGCGCTCAGGAGCCAGAGGGAGAGGAAATGCTGAGCTGTCTCCCCCCAGGCAGCAGGGACCAGCTGTGGGAGCGCCCAGCGGGTGCCTCTCATGTCTCCCCCTTCCTGCAAGCAGCAGAGGAGACAGGTGCTCCAGGCCTCCGAGCAGGTGCAAAGTTGCGTCGGCTGAGCCGGGCGCAGGACAGTCACCTGCCCACGGCACCCAGCACCGCAGTGGCTGCGCCAGGCTTCTCCCAGCCCCCAGGCACCCAGGCGGGACCGGCAGCCTGCCCCCGGCTCCGCGCTGCCGCATCCCTGGGCAGCTGCAGGGAGCGACTACAGGGCTGGATCTGCTCCGCCCTGAGCGGGACCAGGTGCCCTCGGGCCTCTTGGCATGCAGAAGCTGCACGGGCTTGCAACAAGCCTGGCTCAGCTGGAGTCTTTGGGGATTTGCCTCTGTGCCTACCCCCTGCAACTCTCCAAAGGCACCTCCCTGGCGCCAGGACGATCGCTAGCCCCCCCGGCCCCTTTCCGTGACCCCGTTCCAGAGCCCAGAGATGCCCAAGCGTCAGTGGAACAGCAGCAAGCAGCGTTTCACGTGGACAGAGCCAAGGTCTTCCCCTCGTCTCATCCCGAGACATGGAGAAGCCATTTGGGGCACCAAAAAACCACCTCCAAGGTGGGCACACAGCATGGATATGTCACAGCAGCGCAGCAGGGTTGCATCTCCCCCAGCACCCTGCTCAGGCCCGGAGCAGCCCAGGGCGCCCCAGCCCAGCTGAGCGTGTCCGACTGCTCCCCTGCATGAACCAGCCTCTCCCAAAGCCCCCGGGCACCCTGAGCTGAGGCCCTGCCAGTGTCAGGCCAACAGGTCCAAGCCTGGAAAGCAGCAAGTCTTCATGAATGGAGGTGTGAGGCAGCCTGCCAGCCCTGCCTGCAGGAGCTGTGGGGAAGGGGAAGGGGATGGGACCTGCAGAGCACCCCCCGCCCTGGCTCCAGCCCCTGCTGCTGGCCCCTGCCCAGGGATTCTCCGCAGAAGCCCCGCGGCGAGGACAGAGCGAGGAGCACCGCGCCGGCAGGAGGAAGCCACCGCGCTGCCTGCTCTCTGCCGCGTATGAATCATCCGGATAATTGCCGCGCGGCTCCACACCGTTCTGGGCACATTACACTGTCCTGCGAAGCATCAGCTGCCTGCTATTTTCCGGCTGCTTAACCTCGCGTCCCGGAGCTGGTGCCCTCCAGCGAGATGCTGGCCGGCTGCTGTCCCAGGAGGTGGGGGCAGAGAGTGCCAGACCCGCACGGGATGGGAAGGGGCTGCCAGCGGGCATCCACGTGGCCCAGCCCCGAGCAGGACATGGCCCTAGGGAGCACGGAGTGGGGACAGATCTACTGGATCCCATCTTGCAGGGCTGAAGCATGTTGTATGCATGCAGTGTCCAGCCCCGGGGGTGCTGGCCCTGGGCAGGGGCTCCTAGGCCATACCACCATACAGCTATTCAATGGCAGTGAGAGCAGGGCCCGGTGGCTACAGGGACATGCGGCCGATTGCTCCAGAGGCTGCCGGGGGGCAGCTGTGCCCTGCCACGGGCAGCAGCACCCTTGGCCTTGGGCTTATTCTGCAGCTGACCTGCTTTAGTCATGGAGAGACTCCCCAGGCATGGGAGCTGCAGGCGAGGGGCCCAGGGGCACAGGGTGTCTCCTTGGCTGGAGGTTTCAGCAGAGGCTGTGGGCATCTGTCTGGACTGCGCGGCTCTGTGATCCACTGACTGGATCTTGGATGGCAGGAGACTGGCTCTGCACCAGCACAAACTGGTCCAGGCTGGAAGAGCAGGGGCTGCATGGATGAGCCCATCTGGAGGAAGCCTGGTACAAGCCCCTGCCCCGCCACTGACCCTGGTCACCTCAAAGGTGCAAGCGCCCTGGGTCCCGCTGGCTCCAGCAGGTGCCAAATCCCCCTGATGTCTGGTTCTCCCTCTTGGCAGATCTACCCGCTACCTGCACGGGCAGAGCTGGCACTTTTGTGGCGGGGTCACAGGAACCTGGGCGTTTGGAGCAGGAAGCCTCCGGGCCGTGCTGAGCTTCTTCCCAGGCTTCTAGAGAGCAGCTCTGACCCCGTTCTGCCAAGCGGAGCATGTGGCCTGTGGGCGGGGGCACACACCGTGGCATGGGCCCAGCTCTGCTCTTTGCTGGCAGGAAGGCAAGGGCATCTGCCAGCAGAGAAGAGCGCCGCGCCGTCCAGGGCCCCGCGGGAGGGGAGGGGGCCTGTCTGCATGGGTGGCAGGCTCTGGCTGGGGCTTGCAGCTGCGACAGTCAGTGGCAGCTCCGGGCAGGGTTGGGGCAACTTGCCAGGTGGTGCTGTCCTCCCCACGGGTCTGACCGGCAGCTGGGAGCCCGGGCGGCATCTGTCTGGAGCGCGTGGGCTTGGGGCCGGGGCCAGTTCACCTCATGCGTGTGAGAGGGAGAAAGGAAAAGCAAGAAGTGGAACCTGTGCAGGGCGTGTGTGTGTGTGTGTGTGTGTGTGTGTGTGTGTGTGTGTGTGTGTGTGTGTGTGTGTGTGTGTGTGTGTGTGTGTGTGTGTGTGTGTGTGTGTGTGTGTGTGTGTGTGTGTGTGTGTGTGTGTGTGTGTGTGTGTGTGTGTGTGTGTGTGTAGGAAGAAGGTGGGAGTGAACACCAGTCTGCAATTCTGTGCTGTGTGCGTGTGCATCTGTGCAGTACACATATGCATGTGTGTATGTGTGTATCTGGGACGTGTACATATGCATGTGTGTGTATCTGTGCAATGCATGTGTATCAGTGCAGTGTGCATATGCATGTGTGCATGTTTCTGTCCAGTGTGTGTATATGTGTGTGTGTGTGTGAGAGACGGAGGAAGATGGCGAGAGTGAACACCAGAGTCTGTACAGTTCTGTGCTGTGTGTATATATCTGTGCAGTGTGGATGTGTGCGTGCACACAACGGAGGTGACAAGAGACAGCGGAGCGGGCATATCAGCAACCGAGTGAAGGCAGCCGGAGGCAGGCGCAGGAGCCAGGCACCAGGCGCGGGTTCCTGGCTCCGAAGCAGGCCGTCCCGCTCCGCCGGCTGCCTCCGTCTGGGGCGAGCGCAGTGAGGCTGAGCCGTGGAGTAGCTCTGGGACCCCCCCACCCCTGCCTTTGCTCCTGCCAAGGCTGGGGCTGGAACCACCCCTCGGCCTTGTCCTCTCCCCGCTGGGCCACCTCTGCAAGGAGCATTGCTCTGCAGGCCACGGGGCCTAGCTCCTCGGGGAGCACCGGGCCCCTGCCCCGCTCCACACCCTCTCACGAGCCTCTCCTGCCCTCCCAGGTGGCCTCTGATCCGCTGGATGAGCTTTCTGCTGGTGCCTAGAGCTCGCTAACCAGGCCAGCAGCATGGACTTCGTGATGAAGCAGGCTCTTGGCGGTAAGTCCCCCTGCGTGCACCGTGGGTCGCGCTCACCCACCCACACCGCTTCCCGTCTGCCCTGACACTGCATCCGTGCCAGAGACCCCCTGGGGAAGGCGCACGCTGCTGGGTCCTGCTCGGCCATGGGGGAGACCCTGGCCAGGATGTCCCTGCTGCCGCCTGGGGCAGAGGTGTTCCTGCAGCCCCCAGGCAGGAGCTGCCCAAGCCCCGGGGCTCCCCCGGCCCCCAACAAGCAGCCCCGCACGGTGCCCGGGTTCCTGGGCTGCATGAAGGGCTTGGCTGGCTCCAGCTCCATGTGATGAGTCACAGCAGCAGGGAGGGAGCCAGAGCTGGGAGAGATGAAAGACCCTGGAGTCCCCCGGGACCCAGCACTGAGTTTGTAGCTCCTAAACGCTGACAAACTGCTCTGGGAGCCGCTGCCACCTGCCTCCTCGCTGCAGCCGCTCCCCGAGGTGCCCAGCCCAGGCTCCCACACCGCAGCATCAGGGCCTGCAGGCCCGGGGGGAGCTCCTTGCTGGCGCCAGGCCCCCCGCTGCTGTGCCCCCCTTTCCCCTCTGCAGCCTAGGGCCTGCAGCTGGTACCGGGGCCTCTGCCCTGCCCCAGAACCAGGCCCGGGGGAGGAACCCGGGGAGAACCCAGCACGGTCCAGCGGCCGCAGCTGCTGTGAGCCCAGCCGGCTCTGCCAACCATGCCCTCTGCCTCCCCGGAGACAGGACCTGAGGTCTTCTCCAGCCCCCAGCAGGCTCTCAGCCTGCAGGTGCCCCGTGCTCCCGGCTCCCTTCTCCCCCAGGAGACGGGGCCTTGCACGCACACCAGCACCCGCCTCGAGCACCCTGACTCCCCTCCTTGAGCCCTCGCTCCCTTTCCCCCTGGGAGGGGAAGCCGCCCTGAGCAAGCGACCTGCAAACTTCCACCTGCACCGGCCCCGGCCCCACCTTCCCCGCCGCGCTCTGCTCTGTCGCAGCGGGCTGCAGCCAGCATGGCTTGGCGCTGGCTGGGACCAGCTGGCCACCTCCGCTCCAGCCCGGGTGTGCTGGCGCTGCCTGCTGGGCTCTGCCAGGGGAACCCCAGGGCTCCGGTTTCCCATCTGCTCTCGCCCTCCTCTGCAAGTTGGCTCTGCTGCATCCTCAAGGCACCCCGGGTCTGCCGGGTTTCATGCCACTTGGCAGTGGTTTCGGGGTGGCTGGAGGGGCGGCCCCAGATGCAGGGTCAGGGGAAGGGGTGGAGAA